ATATATCTTGCTGAGTGATTCTACCATTTAATAGTTCTCTTTTACGAGTCAGTGATTTGTGAATAAAAAGAATGAATGTAAGCATTCATCGCAGGGATCACACAGATTTTGGAGGAAGAAACAACAGACAACAGATGAGGAGTGACTTGTATTTTTAATATTTCTAAAAACCTAAGAATGCTCCTTTATGGGGACAGTTTTAGTGGATGGCAATACTGCCACAGGAAGGCCAGAAATAACAGTAACAGGGGTAAACAGTAAACTTATAAGTAAAACATCTAGAATAATAAGCTGAATTTTGCTTATTTGGAAATGAGATAATTTTAAATTCTTATTTATTTGATTAAACAAAATATGGCGATGCACATTTGCTAGTCAGTAATTGTATTTTGGCAAGCCTAAATTCATATAGTCACATATAAAAAGAAATAAAAACAGTTTTATTTGATGCTTTGAATATAAATGACATATTTTCTTTTTCTTTTTTAAGATGGAGTTTCGCTCTTGTTACCCAAGCTGTAGTGCAATGGCACAATCTCGGCTCACTGCAACCTCCACCTCCTGAGTTCAAGCAATTCTTCTACCTCAGCCTCCCGAGTAGCTGGGACTACAGGCACGCGGCACCATGCCCAGCTAATTTTTGTATTTTTAGTAGAGACGGGGTTTCACCTTATTGACCAGGATGGTCTCGATCTCTTGACCTCAAGATCCACCCACCTCAGCCTCCCAAAGTGCTTGGATTATAGGCATGAGCCACTGCGCCCAGCCCAATGACATATTTTCATACTGTACATGTGGTAAGCCACATAAAGTTGAAAATTTTGTTATTAAGGATAGATTTTCTGTCTGCACTTTAAGCTCCATTTTTCGTACACAAGTCAGTGTATTTTGCTAGGACTCAGAGATTGATATCCCCACAGACTCTCAGCATTGATATGCTGAAGAGGCCTTAGAAGCTGCCTCAGAATCAAGGTCCCTGTAATTCTGCCTTCTTCTCATCTCCAAGGGTAGAGAGGGGCTGTATATGAAATTTGCTTATCTGACCAAGAAAGTTTCTTTCTGAAAGAAATGCAACTGTATTAAAACCCCTCCCTAGGGATCTCATCCAAGTACTAGGAAAGATCAATTAGCATAGAAAAGACTGGGAGTCCTCACCATGCCTAGACAGACTTATCTATTCTTTTGAGAGCAGCTCCAAGAGGTTACCAGGGAGACATTATCTGCATAATAAGATAACCTTTGTTCCTGTGCAGGTCTGCCCCTAAGCTTCCCCTAATGTCTGCCTCCCACCTCCTGGATCCATTCATCCTCTCTAATGATTGAATACCCATCCAGAATCTTGCCTACATTCCTAATCTCCCCTCCTTTATGAAAAGGGTATGTAAGCTTCTGTAGTACACTGTGTAACACACTGGGTTATTGGGTAATCAATCTGACATTCGCTGTGCTATTCATGTTAAAATAGAATTTTGCATGCCTTTTCTCCTATTAATCTGCCTTTTGCCGCTGATTTTTCAGTGAACCTTCAGAGAACAAAGGGAAAGTTTTCTCTATAGTGAAAGGTTTTCACTATAGCTGCTCTGTCAAGAAACAAGCTGCAAAGTCAAGAAATGAGATCCAGGCTCCACCCCAATAATTTCTGCACTCGTTTTTAAAAATTATCTTTTGAGTTGTTCCCGAACCTAGACTTGTATTTTTGTTGACTTTATTTTTTATTTTATTATTATTTCTGAGACAGAATCTTGCTCTGTAGCCCAGGCTGGAGTACAGTGGCACCATCTCGGCTCACTGCAACCTCCGCCTCCTATAGATTCAAGCAATTCTATCTCAGCTTCCTGAGTAGCTGTGATTAGAGGCACCCACCACCATGCCTGGCTATTTTTTGTATTTTTAGTAGAGTTGGGGTTTCACATGTTGGCCAGGCTGGTCTGAAACTCTTGATCTCAAGTTATCCACCTGCCTCGGCCTCCCAAAATGCTGGGATTACAGGCATTAGCCACCATGTCTGGCCAAGTTTACATACATAAATAACACACATACACACACACGTTTTAGGTAACAATTGAATATATTCAGTAGTTTTATATATATATACGTATATATATGTATGTATATATATATAACTACTGAATATACATAAATAACACACACACACACCTAAAACGTGTGTATGTGTATTATTTATGTATATTCAGTTTTATATATATATGTATATGTATATATATAAAACTACCGAATATATTCAATTGTATATGTACATGTATATATATAAAACTACTGAATATATAATTTTTAAAATTTAAAAATGTTTTAAAAATGCAACGTATGTCTTAGGTAGACATATATTGACATGTATTGCATTATTATCTTAGAATGGTGATCATTAAACATTTTTATGGTAGCTCTGTCACCCAAAGTCTTGCTTGTGTCACCTGTACCCAGGCTGGAGTTACCTTGTATGAATGCTTAAGTCACAGATAATGTGTTCCTCTCAAGAAAATAATATGGTGTTAGGGCCCTCCACATTGCAGGCCCTAACTTAGTCTTAGTTTGTTTGTTAGAGCCTTGAATTCTGTCCTGTACTTGCTTTTGTGTCTTTTGGTGATTTCAGATGAGAAAATTAGCATTCATTTAGTTTGGAGGATCCCATCAGTAACCAGGACACTCAGCCTTCTTTTTTTCTGAGACGAGACGGAGTCTTGCTCTATTGCCCAGGCTGGAATGCAATGGCACAATCTTGGCTCACTGCAACCTCCGCCTCCCAGGTTCAAGTGATTCTCTTGTCTCAGCCTCCCAAGTAGCTGGGACTATAAGCGTGCACCATGACACCCAGCTAATTTTTATATTTTTAGTAGAGATGGGGTCACCATGTTGGCCAGGATGGTCTCCATCTCTTGACCTCATGATACACCCGCCTCGGCCTCCCAAACTGCTGGGATTACAGGTGTGAGCCACCATGCCCAGCTGACACTCAGCCTTTTATTCACATGTAACTATGTAAGAAATGTGCCAAAGGTTTAGCCTGAAACAATGGACATCACTGGATCAGCTAAATAATAAAAAGGTAAATTATTGACTAATTCCATCAAAATTATAATCTGGAAAAATCATAACATGATCTTTTAAAAAATATTATGCTAGATGATAACAAAAACGAAATGAAAGATTGCAATTCTATTTCTACAAGCCAATATTACAAAAATACCTGCTATCTCTAGCACATGTACATACATATTTTTTTGTGTGGCATTTTTAATTTCACTGAAAACTGAGAAAAGTTTTAGTAATAGCTCTTCAAATAGTAAACAAAAAGAATATATATCTATGTTATGGTCAGTCTTTACAAGGAAATGTCATGCAGACATTTATTTAAAAAATGGGGTAAGGAGTCAAAGATTCCAGCAAATGACAATAGCTTTTGAGCATGGAGAAAAATCAAACAATGAAATAATGTTCACACTTGTACAGTAAACAAGTGGCTAGTCTCTGCACTCAGAATTGCAGTCTCATATTCTGTCCACACAAATTAATGCCTTTCTGAACCTTTCACAATGAGAACCTCCATTATGAAAATATCCACAGTCCCTTTAAGCATGAGAGAGAAAATTTTACTTGTGGCTCTCAGAAAAGTCTCAATTGCCCTCCTTCTAAACCAGAAATGTTTTAGTCAGAATTTCTGGAAAACATTAAAACAGAGAATGAGTAAGATCTGTGTTTCATAATCAAATTGATATCCTATTCAATTATTAAATAGTGATGCCAAAAAATGAAAATAATTTAAAAGATTATTGAAAATATAATTATGAATACTGATATGGTTTGGCTGTGTCCCTACTCAAATCTCATCTTGAATTCCCACATGTTGTGGGAGGGACCTGGTGAGAGGTAATTGAATCATGGAGGCAAGTCTTTCCCACGTTGTTCTCATGATAGTGAACCCCCCAAAAGACAACCCCCAGAAAGGAAGAACATGTTTCCAATTGCATAGGTGATAAGAATCCATTGTTCAGAATATATAAAAAATTCTTACTGCTCAAAACAAAAAAGACAAATATCTCCTTTAAAAATGGGCAAATTGAAGATTTCTATCAACAAATGAACAGAACTTAGGCGTCCATAAACAGATGAATGGAAAAAGAAAATGTGGTACATATACACAACAGCCTACATTCAGCCATAAAAAATAATGAGATCCCATTATTTGCAGCAATATAGAAGGAACTGAAGATACTTGTGTTAAGTGGAATAAGCCAGGCACAGAAAGGCAAACTTTGCATGTTCTTACTTATTTGTGGAAGCTAAAAGTAAGACAATTGAATTAATGGACACAGAGAGTAGAAGACTGGTTAGTTATCAGAGGCTGAGAAGGGTAGTGGTGGGGCGAGAAGCGAGGTGGCATAGTTAATGGGCATAAAAAATGAAAGAATGGATAAGATCTAGTATTTGAGAGCATAATATTGACTATAGTCAATAACAACTTAATTATGCATGTAAAAATAACTGAAAGAGTGTAACTGAATTGTTTGTAACACAAAGGATAAATGCTTGAGGGGATGGATACCCCATTCTCCATGATATGATTAGTTCATATTGCATGCCTGTGCCAAAACATCTCATGTGCCCCATTAATATGTACACCTACTATGTACCCACAAAATTTAAAAATAAAAAAATTAAAAATTGGTAAATTGTGTAGCATTTCTCCAAAGAAGCAATACAAACTCCAGTAAGTACATGAAATGATTTTCAACACCATTTGTTCTTAAGGAAGTGGACATATAAAACACCATACACTTCAGAAAATTAAAGACATATTTTCAAATGATTGAGGCCAGTTTGAAAAGACTACAGACTGTATAATTCCATTGATATGACACACAGGAAAAGTTAAAACAATAAAGATATTAAACAGGTTAATGGTCAGTAGGTGCTTTTGAAGGAGGAAGGCTGAATATGTAAAGTGCATAGAACTTCTAAAGGGCAGTGAGACTCATCTGAAGGATATGGTAATAGTGGGTATATCATACTGTTTTTGAAGCCCTATAGAACCTTATAACTCAAAGAGTGAACTTAAATGTTTGAAAATTAAAAATCTAGTTCATAGGCTGGGGGATCCCATGGAGAAATGCAGACAAAATAAGATTAATGCATAACAAATGTATAAAATAATCTCACTGAAGGGAGTAGGTGGGGAAAGGAGCTTACCTAAGTAACTTAGGAAATAAGTGGAAATTCTGACTCTAAAAGCCAAAGGAGTGTCCATTAGCACTGTACTTTAGTTGGTAATGTTGTTCACCATAGGGGTATAGATTATTCTGAAGCCACTGCACATGTAAGTTGGAACTCAATTATTAAGTAAAGGAGGCCAAATGTCTCACAGTTAGAACGAGAGGTTACGTAGAAGTAGAGGGAATGGGGAGACTGACTCGTGGTGCTGGATTAGACTCTGGTGGTATTAGAGACATTAGGGGAATTCATATTTAACTTAATAAAGATACACATGAACACATGAGGAAATATTTATAGATACATTTATATGTGTGTGGTAGTATACACAGATATATTTATTTGCTGTGTCAGCTAACAAGGCCCCAAATCAACAGATGCCCCAATGAGTAGATCTGGTACCCAATCTTTATTTCTAATTCAATTTGTAAAGAAACTAGGACTCCTTGAAGAAATCATGGCTACTTGGCTTGGGCATGAAATAAAGGTAATTTGTCCGGATCATCTTGTAGTATCTGAAATAAGAAAATGTGAAACAACACAAACAGCCAAAGAAATAATCTAAATAAGACCACAATGATGTGGGTATTTCAAAATGATACGGAGCCAACTGAGAGACCTCCTAGTGGCCAACACTGAAACAATTTGAGCAATAGAATAAATAACTATAAAAGAGTGTAAATTAAATAGCCATAATTCCATACAATATTTCCAATGATACAAATAAATGACTGGATAAATATGAAATAAATGATGGAAAACAGGCAAATTGCTCCTGTTGAAGAAGTTTTAATGACATTTTCAGATACTCTTTTCATAAGAAGGTGGAGCATGAATACCCTCTATGTATAGTGCTATGTATAGTGACATATTTTCATTTTTTACTTTGATTTTAGGTTCAGGGATACATGTGCAGATGTGCCTTACTATAGGTAATATTTACCTGTAGGTAAACTGCATGTTACCAGGGTTTGGTGTATAGATTATTTTGTCACCCAGGGAATAAACACATGTCCTGATAGGTGGTTTTTTGGTCCTCTCCTGCCCCCCACCCTCCATCCTCAGGTACAGTCCAGTGTCTACTGTCCCCTTCTTTGTGTTCATATGTACTCAAAGTTTAGATGCTGATTATAAGTGAGAACATATGATATTTGCCCTCTCTTACCACTTGTATTCAACAAGTTACTGAAAGTCCCAGGTAGAGCAATTAGGCAAAAGAAAGAAATAAAAGGCATCAAAATAGGAAGAAAGGAAATCAAAATATCCCTGCTTGCAAACAATAAGATTCTATACCTAGCAAACCCCATAGTCTGTGCCCCAAATCTCTTTTATCTGATAAACAACTTCAGCTAAGTTTCAGGATACAAAATCAATGTACAAAATCAGTAGCATTTTTATACACCAATATCATTCAAGCTGAGAGCCAAATCAAGAATGCAATATCATTCACAATAGCCACAAAAAGGATAAAATTCCTAGCAGTACAGGTAACCAAGGTAGTGGAAAATCTCTACAATGGGGATTATTAAGCGAATGCAAAAGTAATTGAGGTTTTTGCGTTGTTGGCATTTGCCATTTGCTGGAATACATTCTTTAATGTAGTTATGTTACATTATTTTAATGCTTTTTTTTGCTAATGACTTCTTACTTGCTGTTTATTTTATGTTTATTTTAAACTATGGAAATGATGTTTTGAATTCTTATTTGAGTTCAAAATGGGTTGTAAAACAGCAGAGACAACTTGCAACATCAACAATGCATTTGGCCCAGAAACTGCTAACAAACGTACAGTGCAGTGTTAGTTCAAGAAGATTTGCAAAGGGGATGAGAGACCTGAAGATGAGGAGTATAGTCTCCAGCTATTGGAAGTTGAGAAGGACCAACTGAGAGCAATCACTGAAGCTGATCCTCTTACAACTAACTACACAAAGTTGCTGAAGGACTCAATGTAGACCATTCTATGGTCATTCAGCATCTGAAGCAAATTGGAAAGATGAAAAAGCTCAATAAGTGGGTGCCTTAGGAACTAAGTGAAAATAAAAAAAAAATTCATCATCTAAAAATGTCATCTTCTCTCATTCTAAGCAACAACAATGAATCATTTCTTGATTGGATTGTGACGTGGGACACAAGTGGATTTTATACAACAACTGACAACTACCAGCTCAGTGGTTAAATGAAGAAGCTCCAAAGTACTTCCCAAAGCCAAACTTGCACCAAAGAAAGTCATAGTCACTGTTTGGTGGTCTGCTGCCGGTCTGATCCACCACAGATTTCTGAATCCTGGCCAGACTATTACATCTGACAAGTATGCTCAGCAAATTGATGAGATGTACTGAAAACTGCAATGCCTGAAGCTGGCATTGGTCAACAGAAAGGGCCCAATTCTTCTCTTTGACAATGCCTGCCTGACTACATATCACATAACCAACGCTTCAAAAGTTGAATGAATTGGGCTACAATGAAGTTTTGCCTCATATGCAATATTCACCTGACCAACCAACTACCACTTCTTCAAGCGTCTCGACAAATTTTTCTTCCACAACCAGCAGGATACAGAGAGTGCTTTCCAATAGTTCATCATATCCTGAAGCATGGCTTTTTATGCTACAGGAATAAAACTTATTTCTCATTCAATAAAAATGTGTTGGCAGGGCATGGTGGCTCATGCCTGTGATCCCAGCACTTTGGGAGGCTGAGGCTGGTGGATCACCTGAGGTCCAGAGTTCAATACTAGCCTGACCAACATGGCAAAACCCCGCCTGTACTAAAAATACAAAAATTAGCTGGGCATGGTGGCACATGCCTGTGATCCCAGCTACGTGGGAGGCTGAGGCAGGAGAATCGCCTGAATTCAGGAGGTGGAGGTTGTAGTGAGCCAAGATTGTGCCACTGTACTCCAGCTTGGGTGACAAAGCAAGACCTTGTCTCAAAAAATAGTGTTGATTGTAATGGTTTCTATTTTGATTAATAAAGCTGTGTTTGAGCCTAGTTATAATGATTTAAAATTCACGGTCTGAAACCACATTTACTTTTGCACCAACCTAATACAAAACACTCCTCAAGAAAGTATAGTGACATGTTCTCAAAAAGTAAACTAGTGAAATGTGAAAAGAGAGTAATTTTACAGTGGAGAAATCTGACAAATCTCTCTTCTTTAGGTGCTCAAATTATTATCAACACAGAAAAGGTGTGTTGATATCTACCTTTGATACGATGTGATAAAAATGACAACTTCCTCCTCCCTCAAATCCATAATCCAGCATAATCATGAGAAAAACATCAGAGAAATTCCAAATCAGGGATGTAATTATTGTGAACATAAGGAAAATGAGCCTAATGGGACATGATATCTGCATATGATGTGGTATCCTAGATGGGATCCTGGAACACAAATATTTGTTAAGTAAAAGAGAAAATCTAAGTAAAATGTGGATGGTAGTGAATGATAATGTCTATTATTGAATTATTAATTGTGACAAATATTCCCCACTGTCAGGGATAAAGAATGCAGTACATAATAATAAGGTGTCACTTGTCCAAGAAGATACAACAATTCTGAACGTGTGTATCTAACAACAGGCATCAAACTGTGATATTGTGCTGGCCTAGAGCCAGAACCTGAGCAAAACTGTTTTTTAAATAAGTTGAAATGGCTGCCCCATTCTCCTCACAATAACTACTGTCCTAGGCCTCTGTAAATAGAACTGCTAGTTTGTTCTGCAAAACTATGTAAAGCTGCTTACCTTTTCTTATCAGTAACTGCTAAAATCTGTGACTTCTATCACCACCCAGACGATGTGTAAACAAATGTATATCTTGACTTCTGTAAACCACTGAAGTAACAGAATGACAAAAGTCCCCTGGCCCTTGGAATGTCCGGAGACCCCCACCCTTGTCTCCACCCAGGAGGTGAATCACAGAATCCCCTAGCCCTTGGAATGTCCGAAACCTTTTCATCCCCATCCCCGCCCCTCACCCCCACTCCGAAGGTGGTTTTTCGGGTATAAAAATCATGGCACCCTCCTTTTGGCACCACAGGTTGGAGAGATGTGAGTCCTCTGTGGTCGCTGGCATAATAAATGACCCTGCAATCTGGCATACTTTTGTCTTGGTGATAACTTTCTACACTCGGTCCAATACAACATTTGGAGTTCCCCAGCGAGATATTCTCTTTTTGTTATCACCAGACAAAAGCCATCTCAGAGTCTCGCCCGGGCGGCCGCTCCCACCTTGGGGGCCTCTGGGGAGGCGCCCCCTGTTCTTTCCCAGGGCCCCAGAGAGCCACCGTGGAGGATAAGCGACCTCTCGGCCGACATTCACCCGAAATTCCTCAGGGTCCTAAAAGAAAAAATCCTCCGGAGGTAAGTCTGGTCTGGGAACTAGTTCAAAGGAAGGGCCTGAGTCGGGGGACTGACGAGTCATTGCAACTCTGACCTGGCAAGCCTCACCGAGACGTCGCTTGAGGCTTCTGGTAGCTGGTGCAGTGGGTACCAGCGTTCACTTCTGGTGGCTGTCATAGTGGGTGGCAGCCCTCTGGTAGCTGGTGCAGAGGGTACCAGCGTTCGCCCCTGGTAGCTGGCATAGTGGGTGGCAGCGTTCGGTTGTTTTCCGTAACCTCTGTGTGAGTGACAGAGTGAGTGTGTATATATGTAGTCCCACGGCTGAAAGGCTACGGGGCTTGTGTGGGCCTTTACCCGCGGTTCCACTGGGGCGTCGTAGGGCATAACGGTGATTCACCTCAGAGCTGTCCTACTTGGACTTCCATCCTGAGGTGACCAGGCCCGGGGATTATACGGGTACACCTTAGCCAAGACGCCCCTAAAAATTCTTCCGAGAAAGTGGCCAGGCAGGCATCTGACTGGTCTCCCATCTGGGGGGCACCCACCCTTTGTCTGTCACTCTTGTATGTGGTCCTGTCTCGTCTGTAAATTTGTCAGTTTTATTAGACTCCTGCTAGCAGACATACACTGGTTCAGGCCATCTTCCCTTGAGGTAGGAGATATCTTACAGTGGTTGATGAACCATTGGATGCAGGGAAATTTTATGATTACACCCCAGAAAAAATTACTCTTTTCTCTTTCTTCCTCATCTTCTTCTTCTTCTATCACTGAGGCCTCACTCTTTCTTCCTTTGCCATGTGGCAGATAGTCTTAACTCTAGTTGTCTTTATTCTCTTCCTTGTTTTGGTCATTGTGGCCTGTAAATTCTCCCAGCCACCTCCACCGGGAAAAGAGTACTTTTGCCCGTGCTGGGTCAGATTCCATGTCAGGGAGGCCGCTGTGCCCTCGACACCTTGGAGGTAGTTTCTTTGGAGCTTGTGTGGAACAAAACCCTAGATCAGAGTTTAAGAGTGCTCTTTCTCAGGCTGGGATGGAAAATAGGTAACTGCCTATTCTGTCAGGAAAGTGTCCAATGTTATGGGCAGTGCCCAACGGTGCATCACAGAAAGGCATATTGGCACTATCCTGGATGTTGGGAGGTAGGATGTCACCACCCCAGTAAAAACTGACTGGCAGCACTTCTGCACACTCTACCGGGTGTGGTGGGTCCAAAACACACATCCGGTAGACCTCTTAGTCCACCTGTTTGTCACTTCCAGACCTTTCCGAAGCAACTGGCCAGTAAAAATGTATAAGGGGGCAGATTATGCCCGGGCAGCGCTAAACCTCCATAGTGCTTATTCTCGCCAGTTGTGGTTTGCGGGGAAAAAAGACCGCCGCCTTACCTTGGCCCCTACCCCCTGTTCCTCTGACTAGGACTAGGGATAAACCCTAAAATCCAGTTGTCTGGTCCTTACAGGACCTGGCTGCAAAGGCCCTGCTAAAACCTGCTTTAAAGAGGGCCAAATTTTAAATTTGAGGCTTTCCAAAATTGGCTTTACTACAGAAAGAGAGGAAAGAGAAAGACAGGAGAGAAAGGAGACAGGAGAGAGAAAGTAGACAGAGGAGAGAGGAAAGAGAAAGAGAGAAGAGAAAGGAGACAGGAGAGAGAAAGTAGATAGAGGAGAGAAGAGAGGAGAGAAAGGAGACAGGAGAGAGAAAGTAGACAGAGGAGAGACGAAAGAGAAAGAGAGAAAGTAGAAAGTAGACAGAGGAGAGAGAGAGAGAAGGGGACCAGAAGCCTCAGGGGCGGAAAACTTGCCGCCAGTAAGTTCAGTTTTAAACTGACACTAAGAGTGTTTTTTTCCTTTCTCTGCCGGCAGTCAGCCCCGCCCAGCTTTGAGGCAGGGCACACTGCCTCAGGGTGCAGCATTTGCATCCAGAATCTGGCTTTAAGAAAAGCTTTCTAACTTTCTGTAACAAAAGTGACTTGTTAGTGCAGTTGTTAAGGTGTGAGGCCTGCAACTGCAAGGTTGTTGGTTCAAATCCTCAGTGAAGCTAATTTTAAATTAGGAAAATCAGTTTTAAATTAGTGAATTCTCTTGAGGAAAATTTGGCATAAAAATAACAAAAAAAAAAACCCACAAATGGGTCGTCTAGCTCCCCACCTTGTAACCCCCTCCAATGCGTGACGGCCAACTTCAAGGTTGGGTTCTCAGGCCAATATGTGAACTTGAATGGCCGTCTTTTGGAATTAGGTGGCCAAATACTGGGACCTATGACCCAAAAAATTATCCAGGCTGTATGGAAAATGGTTGCAAAAACTCCTGGATACCCTGAGCAGTTTCCATACATCGACCAATGGTTGGGTTTAGTCCAATGGCCTCCCCCATGGCTAAAGTGCTGCATAAAACAGGCTAGACTTCAGGTCACGTTAGCCAGCCCAAAAGAAAGTCCTTTCTGAGCCAGCCATTCTCCCCACCCCAGCGGAGGATCAGGAATTACTTCCACCCTACTCAAGGCCCTCTAAACCAGCACCTCAGCACCCCCCTCGACAGTACTATTAACCAAACCTTGTCCCCTCTGCACACCCATAGTGGGGTCCCCACACCAACCGGCAGTCCTCCCTTTCCAAGAGGCACCCCCAACAGAA